TGCAAGAACAGCCAGTGTTCTTAACCGCTGAGCCATCTCTCCAGCCCTGTTCTTAACTTTTTAAAATACAGGAGAAGGAATAGGTATGAAGGTGACATATACAAGGCCCTAGGTTCGATCTCCAGTACTGTGCTTTGTATCAAAAAATATGTGACACTTGGATTTTAAGTCTACCCTTTATATTAAAGAACCAGAAAATGAGATAATATATTTTTTTAACTTTTTAAAACATTTTATTTTTTTTATTTTATGTGTATGCGTGTATTGCCTGCATGTATGTAAGTGCACCCATGTCGTGCCATGCCCATGGAGGTCTGAAGAGGCTGTGGGATCTCCTGGGACTGGAGTTACGGACAGTTGTTAGCTGCCATGTGGGTGCTGGGATTCGAACCTGGGTCTTCTACAAGAACAACCAGTGTTCTTAACTGCTGAGCCATCTCTCCAGCCCCGATAAGATATTTTTATTTTTATTTTATGTGCATGGGTGTTTTGCCTGCATGTATGTATGTGTACCACAGGTGTGCCTGGTGGCCATGGAGGCCAGAAGAGGGCGTTAGCATCACTGGTCCTGGAGTTGCAGATGGCTGTGAGTCACCATGTGGGTACTGCAAACTGAACCCAGGTTCTTTGCAAGAGCAGCAAGTGCACTTAATTGTGAAGCCATCTCTCTAGCCTATGGGCTAATATTTTTAAATGGACTTTCAACAGGTACCTACCCTGCAAATATATAAAAATCTGTCAGATTAGTAAGTAATCATAAACTGATCTTGGAATCAGTGGGGGCACTGTCTCTTCAGTACTACTTTTCTCTCACTATTGCTTCTCACCAGTGTTTGTCCTGGTACTCTTAAGTCCCTTGGCCTTGCTTATAGTAATCGAGAGACATTTGATACATAGGGAAATTTTAATTGCTTACCAAGTCTAGCTTCTGGAAAAAAAATAGAATAAGGGGAAAAAAAACTTACCTAATATGAAATAGTAGTGCTTAAAACTAATCATCTTATTTAATCAAGAAAGAAATAGACTAATTTTTCAAGTTGTCCCATTCAAATTTGACTCTTTGAAACTGAAACCCATAGTGGATGAGGAAATGAGAACTTCTAGCTGTTTTAAATAAGTGGAAAAAATAGATGAGCAGCAGGGTAGATTTCTCCACATGCTTAGACGTTTATAAAACTGGTACCACCAATCTTTGAAAAGTAAAGAGATGTTTATATAGTGTATTACTACTTAGCAATTAAGAAGGAATGTACTATAGATCATACAACTTGAATATACATATAGATGCAAAAATAATCCACTCTGTACTTTATGGTTCCATCTAGGAGATGCTCGCTAATCATGTAGTGGCAGAAAGCTTATCAGTGGTGGGCTGGGTATAGGGTAAGGGGAGGAGACAGAAAAGAGGGATAACCAGGATGTACTAGGACACATCGGGAGTGATAGGTTTCACTATCTTGATTATAACCATAGTTGCATGGGCTAGACTTATGTTGAAACTTCTCAAATTATATACTTTCAAGATATGCAGTGTGTTATATATTAATTATGCCTTACTAAGTGGTATTTAAAAGTAGCTCAACCCTGAAAAGACATAGAGGAATCGTAAGTGCATATTACAAAGTAAAAGAAACCAGAAAGCTACAGCTTCATGGTTCCAACTGTGAGACATTCTGGAAAAGACAGAACTCTGGAGAAAGCAGATCAAAAGCTGAAGAAAGGGAAGAATGAATGGGCAGCAAGCACAGAGAATTTTCAGGCAGTAAGCTACTACAGTGGTGGATCTATGCCACTGTACATCTTAAAGCCTGTCCTATCTACAGCAGTGGACCTTAATATAAACTGTGGATTTGGGATGAGAATGGCCTGTCAATGCAGATTTGATAGTAATGAATGTACCTTAATGTGGGGTGTTTATAAGCCTGGGAGGTTGTGCGTGTGTGGGGTCAGGGCCACATGGCACCTCTGCTTTCCATTTGATTTTGTAGTGAATCTAAAACTGCTCTAAAAAATAAAGTATATTTGAAGTAAAGAGAGATTTTTGCCAGAAGCTAGAACTGCATTTTGTTTGTGTGTTTGTTTTGAGAGCAGATCTCCTAGTGTTGTCCAGGCTGGCCTGGAAGTTTTGATCCTCCTGATCCTAGTGCTGAGATGAAAAGCATGTGCTTTCATCCCTGGAAAGAACTGGCTATTTTACATTTCAAACTTGAAGAATTGGGAGGCCACACTGAGAAGTTATACAGTGAAATTCCTGTCACTGGTTCTTAGAAAAATAAGCCAGATCGCCAAGTGTTTCATATGTGTGATTAGAAAAGAAAGTACTGATTACTAGTACCCAGAATCCATTTTTAA